ACTCAGAGCATCTCGGGTCTGACTTGTGCACAAGTAAATTTACAGAGATCAAGGGCAGCTACTTTAAATTTTATTGATTTTATGATTAGAAATGAAATACAGCTCGCTCTCTTACAAGAACCTTATGTCAAAGATGGCAAGATCATTGGATTACCAAACTGTAGTAAGATATTCTTTTCTGGTTCTTTTAAAGCGTTGATAATATATAACGGCCCTCTAAATCCATTTTTTGTGGCGAGAACTTTAGATGCAGTGACAATTCGCTTGCAATTTATCAATAGAAGTATTAATATTACTAACGTTTATTTTCCACCGACGACGGCCGATTTAGATAGCAATTTAACCGAACTTTGTTCACATATTATTCATAATGATCATTTGCTTATTGCGGGTGATTTTAATGCTACGAGTCCTCTTTGGGGTGGAAATCAAGAAGATCATAGGGCTGCTAAAGTTCTTGATTTTATCCACGAAAACAGACTGTGTGTTCTTAATTCCTCCGATTCAGAGCCAACATTCTTGACTGTCAGAGCCAAGGGTTGGCCTGATATTACATTAGCTTCATCTCCTTTTGCAATTTCTATTACAAATTGGAGGGTGTTGACAGGTTTGTCTATTAGTGATCATCAAATTATTTTGTTTGAAATTGGAATCTCGGAAGACATAATTTTGAAACGTAGATTTAAAACTTCATATGGTGGACATGAAAAATTTATTGAGAAACTTCGTCCACGAATTTCTCAATTTATAAATTTATTTGAATCTAATACTTCTCGAGAGGATTTAGAAAATAACTACGACTTTTTTATTGGTTCATTGATGGATGCAGCAACAGCGTCCTATAAGTCGAAAAGAGTACGGATTAAAACCTCTACATCATGGTGGTCTGACTCGCTCACAATAAAAAGGAACAAAGTTCGTGCTTTAAGGAGACGTATGCAAAAAGAAAGGGATGACAATATAAGGCATTCACTTAAAATTTCTTATAAGAAGGAACTAGCAATTTTTAAAAGATTGATTATAAAGACAAAAAGTGAATCTTGGAAGGCATTTTGTGCTGCTATTGAAAATCCTTATGGCATCACTCAAAAGATTGCAGTGGACAGAGTATTTCGACCTCTTCAGCTGCCAGTAGAGGTAGCTCCGGACTGTACTTCTCTGGGAGAGAAATATAAAAAAATTTTTAGATGAGTTATTTCCATTGGATTTGGAGATTGACGATATGGATTTACATAAAGTAATGCGAGAAAAATTTAAAAATCAAACTTGGAATTCTACTTTAAGTGACTCTGCCCTCCTGGAGCTTGAGGAGTTAGAAAATACAATTCGTTCTCTACCGTCTAAGAAGGCCCCCGGACCAGACGGTCTTGATAATATTATCATAAAGATACTTTTCAAAGAATTCCCCCAATTGTTGTTATCTTTATATCGAGCATGTTGGAAATTGGCTTTATTTCCACGGCAGATGAAAATTGCCGAAATAGTTTTATTTGGCAAAAAAGGTAAAGATCCTGCTATTTTGTCTTCTTATAGACCAGTGAGTCTTCTTTCTTCTTTAAATAAACTCTTTGAAAAATTAATATTGAACAGACTAAATTATTTTCTAACTGAAAATAAAGTGATCAGCGACTTTCAATTTGGATTTAAAAAGGGGGTTTTCAACTGAAATGGCTGTTTTTAATCTGCTAAACACAGTAAAACGCAACAGGGATGGTAACAGGCACACGTTAATCATCTCCATTGATATACGTGGTGCATTTGACACGGTCTGGTGGCCTGACATAATTGATGCATTGGATAGCGCAAACTGCCCTGTAGAAATTTTGAATTTAATTCGAAATTATTTGGAACAACGCAAAATTCAATTAACCCTGGATAATGAAATTTTAATAAAAGATTTGCAAAGAGGCTGTCCACAGGGTTCCTGTTTAGGACCAACCCTGTGGAACTTAGTCGCTAATACGGCCTTTGGTATGTTTGAAAATACTGAACAAGTAACTTTGCAAGCTTATGCCGATGATTTTCTGTTAATTATCTCAGGCGTAAAGGACATTGAAGTAAGAGCTCAACAAGCGATTAATAAGTTTGTAGAGTGGGCAGACATGCATAAATTAAGAATTTCCGAAGAAAAAACTACTACTATGTTGTTTATCGGTAGGAAAAGAAAAATGCGTCGAAATCCGTCTATAAAAATCCATGGAAGGCCAATAAAATGTGCAAACACCTTGAAATATTTAGGCTTTGTTATCAGCAATACGCTGTCTTGGTTTCCACATGTGAAACATCTTAAACAGAGATGTGCCGTTCTTACGAATGGCATGACAAAGACTATGGGCCTTAATTGGGGTACTTCCCCAAAAATCTTGCGGCTGTGGTATAAAACAATCACTGAAAGAGTTCTTTTGTACGGAGTCTCCATTTGGGGTTTTGATATGAACAAAACTATGAGTGGCTTACTGAATTCAATACAGAGGCATCAGCTATTACTTATTTCCAAAGGTTATAGAACAACCTCGACAGCCTCACTGCAGATTTTGGCGGGTATACCTCCATTAGATCTGCAGGCTCAAAGAGACTCTTTCTTAGGACGGATCCTACGATTACGATTGAATGGGGATTTATGGAACCAACATCACCTAGTAAATGATTATGAACTACGGGTTCCATCTAATCTTGGCCATCCTGCCTCTTTAAAACTCAAATCTGCAGTCAATTTATACTATACGGCTCCAGTAGCCAATGACATTGCTCTATTTACAGATGGTTCTAAAACTGAACGTGGAACAGGTTGTGCATTTTGTGTATTTAACAATACTCAAAAGGTATATACATGGACTCGAAGGCTTGATAACAGAAATACTGTTTTTCAGGCAGAACTTTTAGCGATAAACGCTGCTCTCACTTATGTTAAAAGAAATCTATCGGGCAAGACTAAGATCTTCAGTGATTCATTATCTAGTCTGCAGGCTATCTCAGACATTACGAATAGAAATCCGATTGTACAAGTTATTCAAGAGAAATTGCTAAGATTTAATTCATCTGAAAGACCACTTCTTACCTGGGTGCCAGCTCATGTTGGCATACTGGGCAACGAAGAAGCAGATACTTTAGCTAAATGGGCTGCTAATGATATCAACGGAATTGAAAATCCAACGAAATTGCCTTTTTCACACTTGAAGAGCGAGACTTTAAATACACTGCTTGTGAAATGGCAGGAAAGATGGACTAATGACTCCACAGGAAGACGAGTCTTCTCTTTCTTTCCAAAAGTTTCACTCAGTCAAAGAAGCACATCGAATTTTTATACTCAATTTTTCACTGGTCATGGACCTTTTAATACATATCTCTTTCGATTTGGACTACGTACGACTGAGCTTTGTTCTTGCGGGGAGTTGGGAGACCCTGAACACTTTATCTTTCACTGTCCATTTACTAAAAACCTTCACTTGAATAAACCTTTAGATCAACACAGGCCAAAATGGGCTGAATTGATATTAAAAAACTCTAGTGAGAGTAAGAAATTTAAGGAAATTATGCTTTTCTGTCAGGAATTAAATTTTTCTGTAAATAATTCTCTCAGATCATCTCTATTGGGAGTGAGTAATTGACTTTCAGCGACTGTTAGATTTTTACTGTATAATGGTAATTGTTTAACTTTGTGTGTTTGATGCTTATTATTGTTCAGTTTTGTTGTTTCCACTACTTATGTTACTGATTTAAAATTAGAAATGGTTTTACGTAGAACAGACGTATCTGACATTGAATGCATCTATGCTCTTATAAATTGTAACGGTTACTTGTAGTATACTTTGTACTATTATGTTTTTTGTAATTGTTAATTAAATTTAACAGAAAATTTTTGTGACAATTTTATTATTTTGCATATTTTAATGCGTTCTTTTGTAATTGAATTGATTCACTTTGGTGAATTTGATAGGCATTAATTGTGCATTCTATTATAAAAATTTGCATTCATGATAGTTTATTTTATATTAATTTTCTTTACTTTAATCTTGAATGCATTTTGTTTTTTTGATTTTGAAATTCTGTAAAATTTTGTGTCGGCATTTTTCTAGTATTGCATTTGTCTTAGCGATGCCAGCAAACCTAATCTAGAATAATTATTTTGTATACCTTTTTTGCACTTTTCTGAATTGAATAGTTGACCTGTTTTTGTGAATTTGATTGGTTTTACTTGAGTTCTCTATTGTAAAATGTGCATTTAAGGCAGTATTTTATAATAATTTTCTTTGACTTATTTTTGAATTTGACTTATTTTTGAATGTAATGTGGTTTTTGGAATTGGAAATTTTTCATATATTTATGTTGGCATTATTCTTGTACTGTATTTCTATCGCGTTGCCAGCAAACCTGATGTAGAGTTTTTATATTACTTGGAGTGGTTTTGTTTTTAAACCAAATTTATGTTTTGTATTGTAATAATATCTCAGGTTCAGTGTATTTTATGATAATATTGTTCAGTTATCAAAGTTATTGGTTCTTAATTCTGAATTCATATGAAAAAATTTTATTTGGCAGTTTATTATTGTCTTAGTTTATCTTTATGCATTTTTTTTTTCTAAATTGAATGGTTCTTCTTGAAATTGTGAATCTAATTGATATTAATTGTGTATAATGCAGTAATGGATGGATGTATTATATTTTGTTTGTACCATAGTTTTTATTTAAATTAGTTGGACTCAGTTTTGAAAGTATTTCGTATTTTCAGTACAAATTATGAAAGTATACTCTGTTTATTGTTTGAATGCTATAGGTACTACTTGTAACATGCTTTCTTTAGGGCCTTTTATGACTATGTTACTTATGTTCTTGTGTTCTTGAAGGCCTTGTATGCCACTGTAAACTTATTCTGCTTAGTCATAATAAATAGCTTCTGGAGGCAGGGGCTTTAATCCGTGTAAGGCAGACATCATGTCAGCTAGGTAATGGAGCCCCTGTTCTCTGGTTAACAGTATATGTGCAATGTAAAGTAATTACTGTGTAAAATTAGATTTTTTTCCTGTACTGCTCCAACAACTGGAAAGTTGAACGATACGATCAAGTTTAAATTCGATTGAAGAGTGCAAAAAATGGGTAAAGGAAGTCAGCGTAAATGCAGATGCTCCAGTGGATAGCGCGAGCTTCAAACCAAATGCTATTGCAAGATTGCTTTCAGGTATGTATATATTTTCCCATTTCAGTAAATTTGATATGTTATATGTGCAATATGTGATATATTGTATTTTAACACATATACAGTTCATTAACATTTTTTAACATTTCCTAAATTTCTATATAATGTAGCATTAAGAAAGATGTTTTAAGAAATAATTTGTTTCCTTACTGTTTTAATTTTTTCGAAAAGAAACATCATTTTCGAGAAACTTCAAGAAGAAAGTTATTAGTATGTACAGCGTAATTTTATTACAGCTAAAACTGATGCAAGGTACTTGAGTCTTTTATCTCAAAATGTGCTGAAATGTTTTGGTTGAAGTTAATATGATATAAAATAATGTAATGAACTCGTAATGTGGAATTGTGTATAACTGTAAAGAATTGGTAAAAATAAATATAATTAGTTCAAATTTACTTAACTCCTTATATTATCAAATATCTATTGAATAGAAAAACGTGTTGAAATATTAAATGTAACAAGTTCTATTTTTAAAAGGCAGATGATTGTACAGCATGTAGGAATTGATGATGATTTTTAATAATCCTAAAGTAATAGTAAAGTCAACAATAAAGTATATTTTGATGTATGTAATTTTCATCAATGATTACATAACATTGAACTTTAATATAAAATATGCTTGGATTGTTTTCATGTGTGCTATATATATTACTGCAAATTAGTTCTTCATAAAATTGTATATTTCTGCAGTGAAAAAGTATGTATGCAATCATGCAATTTGTAGGAAAACATGTATATGTACTTCACATGTACCAGAAAGACAAGATAACAATTATGACTGTCAATCATCATTTGCTGACTGTATCTGTCAAGCTGACTACACAGACTATAGTAGCCAAAGATAAGTTGTAGAAAGTGTGTTTCAGAGTTGAATGTATGAATTAAAGTTAGTAGGATAATTATTCTTAACTAAATAATAAAATAAAAATAAAACCCCCCCTTATTTCATTTTTTATAAATTCTCTTATTATTATGATGTGATTTCACAACCATTGACCCTCTCCTATTGTTAAATAATTCATTCAGCACTGAACAACATATTATTTTATTGGTATAAAAAATAATATATTTTGTGTGTATGACCAAGTTATGATCTAAGATTTTCAATACTTGAATCATCCTTTTAAAGATTTTTATAAAATGATTTTTTTTTTTAATTTCAGGCATTGGCACAGTGAATGGCAGCTGAAAAATTTTGACCCTTGTTTCTGGAAGTGAAATGTTAGATGTAAGTAATGATGTCTGAGACCCTTATCACACGGCATTTGTTTCACATGAACAACTTGTTTCGGACAATTTTTTCTGCCTGGTTTACTATTGAAAGAAAGACATGCGACGTTTTTCTTCCTTTCTAAAAAAATTGCAAATTGTTCGTTTTCAATCAATCAGCTATCAGCTTGTTTGTAATGGGGAACCAGTTTCCCATGTTAACCCCAAAGTGATCTATGATAATTGGCTGTTGTGACAAAGCAGAAAAATTGTGCCAAACAGTTATTCTTCCGAAACAAACTGACGTGTGATAGCATCCTTACTGTTAATAATACTGTGAAGCACTTAATTGTATGCTTTGCTAATGAATATGTACTAGGCAATTGTGGTTATTATGAAAGAGGTGAAATTTCAAATACAATTGTTTCAGTTACAATTATTACAGATATTATTTAATTTTGTAATAATGCTAATTAAAAATATGAATTAAGAAAATGCAAAAATTAGTGTATAAGCATACTAAATAGTTCAGAGTAAGACTTGTACTTAATTTATATAGTAGCACTCATTCACACATATGATGACTCGTACACTGATATAAATTTGATATGCTTTTATACTGTTTACATGTCTTCTATATTCAGATTTGAATCATCATCTGCCAACAAATTCAGTTAATCAGGCATTGTTGACCTTATTAGTTTCTTGCAGATGTGTGAACTTTGGAAACATTTTTAGATTTAGTGTAGTTTTTGTTTGCTTTTCAGGTTTTCACATAATATCAACTAGAAACATTACCTCTTCATTTTAAAGGTCAAAGAGATAAAATAAAATAAAAAAAAAAAAAAAAAAAATAAAATTAATTAGTTAATATCATACCTAAAATGTTCTTTTATTACACAACTATTATTTAAGCCATCCAAATGGGCGCAATATTTTTATATATACTTTTATTTAATTTTCCAGTATATGTTATTGAAGCCATTCAAATCCCACTTGGGCATTTTCAAGCATATTAGTTGTTGAATATTATGTCTGACTGTAAACACACAGGCAAAGTATGTATAATTATTATGTAATTTAACCTATCTTTCCTTCAAATATTTCTTTAAAATTACAGGAGACAGGCATACATTTGAGCTTTGATTAACAGACTTAGTGTAGTCGCCATGACGGATAAGAAAACAGATGAATAATAGACCACCCATAATCACCAACATATAATGCAAGGATTTGAGAATAAAGATTGCTTATTAGCATAATAGTGCACTGAATATTAGATATAAAAATTATAGAACTGAAAGATTTGTCACGTATCATCTTTGCTTATTATTATATATATTGAAAATAAACAGTTTGCTTCTGCAACAGAATAAATATCGAGTGTCTTGAAATGTTTTGTATACCTGGAGCTTTACAGTTCAGTACATTATACAAAGAGCAGTATATATAATGATTATCAGGTCTGCACAGAAATTTTTAATGGAAAATTCTTGTGTATAGATTTAGTTGATATTTCGTATCTTGTGTACAGATTTAGTTGATATTTTGCAAGACATGGCAATATTTCAGACTTTTATTCTAATTACTGTGACAAACCCAATCATTAGAAAATTATACACGTATGAAAATTATTAATATAAGCTCTCCCAGCAGATCATTTTGCCTTTAGATGAAATTCTCAAAATTATATATTCAATATTGATTTACACTAAGTAAGATTAAATTTAGACTTTACGTCATATCTGCTTTAACAAAGGAAAGAACAAGATGGGAGGAGCAGCTGCAAGGTCTTGTAGCAGCGGTAGAAGAAAGCAGTCTGACGAAAAATGGCACGTATTCAGTATGTGTACTAGCGGTTATATAACATGCCAGAATGTTCTCGAAAGTACTGGTCTAGGATAAGATCCTGAAACTGCAGTAAGTTAATTATAGGTTGCATGCTCGCGCAGAGCAAAGCCACTGTATTTTCTATATTTTACATGTATATAATACATATTCTTTGTGTCTTGGTGAATACATTCTACCTCGCTGGCAGGTAACAGAAACTGACGATCAAAAGATTGATGAATATTTAATAATTTTGATGAGATTATCTAGGAAAGTAAAATAGTTTAAAACGTATTAAATGTGGTTTTCCAGAATGTTTCCTAGCATAGTTTTTAATCTCAGACTAAATGATACACATTATCTGGAAGTTCATATTCTTGTGTCATAAAGTATGCTTTATTGTAATTAGTCTTAGATTGTAAAGTTAAATTTATGAAAATATGATGAGTTAAAAATGTATTGCAGATATTAAACTAGATTTTAATTATATGCAATTTTGAAATTTTAGAGATCTTGCTTCATGTAATTATTTTTAATGTTTTTATTAAATTCTTAATTAATGCTATTATGCATGCATTAGAAAGTGAAATGAAATAATACTTAGGGATATCATTTGGCTGCATTCTGTTGTTTCTCAGTTAAACTATTCTGCATTCAAAAAATTACTCAAGGATTCTCACGAATACCAGCTCAAACAGTTCCAAGTATTTCTGCAAAATATACGTAATTACTTAAGAATTGTATTTTTTTTTTTAGCCTTTACAAGTTATTGCCAAAATTATTTTGTAAATCAGAAATCTTCGAGGGGATTAGTGTGTCTCGCATAGTTACCCTGGTGCCACACCATAACACTGAAATTGATAGATGTATAATTGAATGTTTAATCAAAAATGTCTAATTCCTCTTTTTATGATATTTCAAGAATTGATACTAATGAAACAAGAAATATTGGTACATTAACATTTTCTTAATATTCATTGTGTATTTGTTATGATGCATGTATTAATGTCATTACAAGTTAGCATTTGGTAATGTTTGTTTCAACAATTTAGGGTTTGATGAAGTGCCACAGAGATTATCGCTTAAAGAATGCGTGCAGGCCAACCACCAACACAAGATATTAAAAGAGCAATGAAAATGAAGATTTAACTATAAAGAAAAATCTGACTAATATTATTACTCATAACACTTAATTGTTTCATATTATTGTAAATTTATGCGAGTTTTCCTGTATTCTGTTTATTTTGCAACTTATGTTATTGTAAATTCATGTATGTTTTCATTCTTGCTCTGTCATGCATTTCATACAATAATCGTTTGTTGTGCATATTAATTATATGTGTATATTACATCATTGAATTACTGTATTTGAATTTTAATAAACCTTTTTACCATTCAGTAGTACTTTTCCATAAAACCCTGAACATTCTAAACATCCCATATCACTAATCCTCGATTCTAAATAATACTTGAGTTTACTTAATTCATGTATTAATAACGAATTTGAAAAATAATACAATAGTGACATATTTTGAGGTAAAACAAATACTGCTCAATTGGACATTTTAAAATGTTTTTCCTTTTAATAGAGGAACATTTTTTAAGGATTTAATTATTAGTATTTGAATATTGTATTAATATATGATTAATTAGTATATGAATATATTGTGTGTAATGAATAAGTAAGGCAGTGAATAAATTTTGAACAATAATTTCATATGAGGAAATATGATCTGCCTGGGTTAAAAAAAATTAATCTTTAAATGCCTATTTATGAGATTATATGGCTGAAATCTGTAGCCCAAAAGCAGTTAAAGCAACAACCACCCCCAAAAAAGAAGACATTTTAAATAGTTTCTTCCAAAACTTGAAATATTTAAACATTACACGACCCTAAATTTCTAGTGAATTTAAAATACTCATTTCATTCAGTTCAGCTACTAGCCATTATATGAAATTTTCCTATATTATTAAAATGTTCCTCATGATTTTGCAAGGTGAAGACCACAAATGTTCTGCCCTCATAACTAATGATGATATAATAAGCATGAAGTAGACTTCAGCGTAAGGAATATGGAACTATATATTTTGCTCTTTGTTTATTAATTAGCTCACTTTTAAAAAATTCATATCATATAGTAAGTAGTATTCATAATTTTTCTCATTTTCTTAATATTTCATTCATTGAAGTATTTAAATGTTAATTTAATTAGCAATACCTAATAATGTCAAATGCATATATTATTATACAGAATGGGATTCTGACCACCATAACACTCGGGCAAAGTGATATACATGTTAATTTTTCAACAAGTTTCTGCGTTATGCTTTTTACTCTCTACACAGTGTTTTAATTTTTAATTATTATTTTTTATTATTTGTAGGACCTTAGGTCCTACAAATAATAAAAAATAATAGTAATACCAGAAAGTGTGACTTTCTTATATTATCCAACAGGAGACCTATGTTCACATCTTATATTTTGAATTTACAGTTTTCTTTTGTAGATGACAGACACCATATATTCAAAAGAAATTAACATGCTGCTGGATATATGCATGTGTTTTTCATATTTACAGCTGTTGCATGTGATGTTATGTAATCGGGTAAAAAATGAAAGAATTAAGTTTATTGACACCAAAACAAATGCATACTTCGATATAAAGGCTGCATAAAAATGAAAATGGCTAAATTAAAATAGTGAATTGAGGTTGTAGAGTTCTCATTTATTTTTATTAACCAGCTATTTTATGATAATTAGCTTTTCTTTCTTCCTTTCCATTTTCCTGCCAGAATGCTAATTTTGAGTGTATTCGAATGAGGTAGAAAGCAGTAGTATTGAAAGGAAAGGTTTTAGATGGTAGAATCTATTTGAATATCATACTACAATATTAGGTCTGAGATAATTTGTGCAGTTTCTTTCTGTGTAGCCTTCGGACTAACTAAAATTTACTTAGTTGAATTCATTTCGTTACTTTTGATTTACGCCATAAATGCTAAGCTGATTCTGTATGAACAAGCTGTGCACTCTGTTAATTTGTCCGAGTCTATAAAAGGGTTTTTTTACACCTATTCCAAACCTCTGTTGTAATTTCCAAAACATAACGAGAAGTCGCTTAAGTTTTCCAGAGTTCTCACACAGTATATACCCAAAGTGGTGAAACTCGTAAGGTGGGAAAGACCATTAAAGAGATTTCTGGATTATTAATCAATCAGAAAAGTAATCGGTGGAAATTACAAAATTAAAATTGAAACCGTAATTTATGAAATAAAGAACAATTATGATTATAAAGGGTATCAAAATTTTACAAAAAGAATGCTTAATATTTATTTGTTTACTTAAATAAACATTACCTTTAATTCATTGTTTAATAGGTTACATTTCTGTGATAATTTCCCATAAATAAACAGAATAATTTCATTGTTTAGATACAAAGTTCATTGTACTAAGCCTATTTTCTGGTCGAAATAAGACTATTTTTCACTTCGAAATTTTTTTGTTTTCATGAACCTCTGTGTCACTTTTCACTATCAAACAATTAAATCACGAGGAACTTGATTTAATCATATCAAAGTTCGAAGTAATCGAGATGAAATACTACGTTTGTTTATAAGCCAAATAAAATAAAAACATTGCCTGAAGATAAGGATATTTGCTGACATGATCATTCCAATTCATTTCTGTTTGACATCTCTTATCTGTTAAGGTTATAACCAGTTAAATTGTTACTGTGTCTCTGAAAAATCAACAGCATTCTTAAACACCATTTTAAAAAATATTTCTGTGTGTAGTATTTTATCAGTAGAATTTTTTTCTAAATAAATACAGAAGTTGTTATGAAAACATTTGAGAGTACATGTCTTGAAAGAGAAACAGTATTCGTAATGTTTAGTCAATTATGATATATTAACAGCTATCATAACTTTGCATGTATGTTGTATGCATTATATATATATATATATATGTATACCCCAATTTTGGCAATAAGTAGAGCTGTTACAAAATAATCATGAAGTCTAATGGAACGTACTCGTCACATATACTGGGGGGAATCAAATTTATGTACGTATTTGCCAGTCTTAAAGAATTTTTGGGGGGGAATTATAAATGTACCAATTTCTTATTAATATAAAATCATTTGTTAATATTAAAGAAAAATTTATTTCTTAACTTACTATCAGCTAAATCATAGACCGAAATATGTGTTTCTGCAGATATTCAGAACTTCCGGAACTACGAACACATTCACAGTTACAAAATATGTAAAATATATTTCTTTTAAATGCTTGGAATATTCGGAAAAATATCTAAATTCAAAGAAATGGTAAAATATGTTTCACTTGCAGATTCTTTGTTATTTATTTGATTATATCACCATTAATAACAATGTTCACCCCCCCGAGAATAAAAAATATATTGTTTATGTACTGAAGTCTTGGTTTGTTTCCCTTGACAAATCAATTAATCTATCATCAATGACAATAGCTACCTTTTAAATACTTTTAATTTTGGTACTTAAAATGTTTGCATTTCCGTGTAGTGCCTAAGGGCGCAGCACGTAATAAATAAAATAAAAAAAAATGTTTGCATTTCAAAATAATATTTCTATGCAGCTTTTAAATAATTTTTAATGCAACAGAAATCTAAATAACATATTTTCCACTGCAGTGGAATTCTAAATAACTTCAAATGCTGACTAAAATTCATTCCAATAATTCATCGCTTTAAATTTCTGTTCCTTGCAGATGATACAGGAAAAACCTTTTCTAATAATATATTTCTAATTCTACCAGGAATTATTGATAAATAACCCGATGAAAAAATTGATACAGGCATAGATGGAGGAGATGTAAATAATTATTACGAAATAATGTGAAGCAGTGTTTGCATTCAAAATGTAAGATGTTATACTTATGAAATTCTGCACTTCACTTTGGAACTGTACGAATTTTCGCTCAGAAAAAGACTGAAATTTAGGATATATTAGTTGAAAATTTATTCATTACACTTTTAAGGAATAAAAACAATTCAGAATTTACCATACGTTAATTCGTACATACGTAAAGAAACACGGACATACGTAAAAAATATAGCAAGTGTTTGCAAATAACATTGAAGAAATTTTACAATTCCTTAATGCTGTTTATTTAATTCTTTTAAATAAGAAATAAAATCGCGAATATAACTAAGCGGGAAAATCCAGTTTACATTACTGAGAATTATAGCATGTAAACAAATTACATCTAAATAACGAATTATTAAGCACAATATATGATAACAATTATTAAATGCACTGTTAGACAAATTAAAATGAAACATATATTAGAAAAATAAGCAAGTGCAATCGGTATGAACGTTAAAATAACTAATAAACAAAGTTCCACAACATTGCAGTTGTACACATCAGTCGACAGCCATGGAGATCACGAATAAGCTAGCGTAGGGTTGCTTTTAGTCGCCAATATTTCTATCCGCGCCAAAGGTACACCATCAAGCATGCGCAGTAAGCGAAATTCGCTTAACACTGTTCAACTCAATGTGCGGTCTGCCATTACGCGATGTGGACCTGGAAGTCCGAATTCTGAATTTCGAATTTTATATTTCCCATTTTGTAAAATTTTAACGAATTTCTGATTAACAAATTCAACGATCTGAAAGCGAGCAGTGGCAAGACTGTACGGAATAAAGTATTTTTATCTCCAGCACGCGAGATTGTCTGTCGGAAATTCTGAAGATATGCTGCTCTTAAATATTTTGTGATTTTGCTGTTAAGTTTATGTGTACATAAGTGCGAAGAATGTGATATCTAATAAAGAAAGTTAACGGACAAAACGTTAATAATAAAAAGACAAAAAAGAAAATTGTGTAAGCCATCTTACTTAGGAAACTGAACACTGATATGGTTAAAAAAGATTGAAAGAAATCGCTAGAAAAACATGTGCCAACATTTAACAGTGCATCGGGAATTCTAAACATATGTTGCTATGTTTTAAAATTTTTGTAATTTTGCTGTTCAACTGCGTGTGGAGTTAGTGCGAAGAAAATAATGTTTAATAATAAAACTGGTAGGAATAAGCGCAACAGCCGACGGTGGACTGCGAGCTCAGCAAGAGCTTAAAAAACACTAACAGTTCCTTTTGGGCAATCGTTAAAATCTAAACTCCTTCGTTTTTTTTTTTTTTTTTTTTTTTTTTTTGTCTAGCTTTATATTGTAATGGCAGAGTTTTAACATGTTTGAATCACTTCGGGTTTTGTGACTTGCCTGTCTCTAAAGGACTAACTTTTTTCCTTACCGTCAGCATTTGCACAAAGTAAAACAGTGAGACGTTCTTCACATTGTTTAGCTCCCTGACACTGGTGACCTTTGAAAGCTAGGGTTAATTAAAATCTTTGTAATACTGCATTTGTAACAATTTTATAACTGTCTTCGCTGGCCGCTACTGAGTTAATATATTAGAACGAGACGTCATTTTCAAATCGCAAAAATTCTCATCATGAACTTTAAACCTCATACATCTTTGTTTGTGGCGCCATCTATTTTTGATTAAGAAAGATAAATATTTTTGGAAATTAAAATTTAATGTGTGAAAGCTTCTTTTAAGAGTTGATTTTGAATAAAACACTGTACATTTTCAATATGA